GCAACGTATTTTTAATCTTCTTTAAAGTGAGATTACTAAGGTTTATAGGTCAAATGTTGAAACCAATTTTTGTTCTATTTGCGGTAATCCCACACAAAAATTAATATAAATTCGTTACATAATACAAATTAAGGTTTTTTTTTCCATTTTATTTTAAAAAATTTTAATTTGTTTTAAATTATAAGGTTTTTATTCTGCATAAAAATGCTAATTCAGTTCATCTAAGTCACACTTGGAAGCCTTCAAAGTGTATGAAGACCTTCCTTAATTTTACTAATATATTCAAAATATTTCTACTTATTTATTATCATCCTCTCCATAACAAGACATTTGGGAGTAAATAATACTAAGTATATGGTATAGACTCCAACTTTAACTCTGTAGTCCTGAATTTACAACTTAATTAGACACTGGCAATTAGCATATTTTTATAACTTGTACAACAGTAGTTTATAACTTTAATTACTTAAAATTTTTTGTCGAAGCCAAAGATTCGGCAAAAATTTGACCTGGCTTCGGCCGAACCGAAGCTTCGGCAAAATTGCCGAAGCTTCGGCATGCCGAAGCCGAAGCCGAAGCTTCGGTACATCCCTAGTTGAAACAACATATTCCAAGTGTAACAACATCGATCAAGATAATGCCATACATAATGGTCACAATATAAGTATCTTTATTATAGAGACTTATATTGTGATTTTTGACTAACAGACTATAAGTCAAATTTCAGGCAAATGCACCATATAAAAGCCATTTTTGTCATATAAATAATGTCATTAAGTCATATTTAAATACAACATATAAAAGTCATTTTTGACACAGGCTTTAATTTAAAAGCTTAAAGTTTAAGCTATAATTTATATTTCTAAAGTGAATGTCTGATAACAATTATTAAAATTATTTTAAACACAAATATTAAAATACTCACTTTGCCTTGCAGATAATTAAACAGTAAATATAACTGGCCGATATGCTGGCACATAAAAAAGAACCACTTCTAACTAACTAAATTTTTTATGCAAAAACAACTAATTTTCCCTGTTATAATTGGTATACACACTTAGCTTTTACGCTTTGTTTTGGAGCAAAATTCTAAACAATTCAATTTTGCCCTACTCAATTTTCTATAAAGTATAAACTTTAAAGTTTATAATAAACTTCATGAACTTATTTCTAAAATTGACTCACTTCAATTGTAACAACTTTAAGATGAAACAATTCAATGAAAAAGAATAATAGGTTAACTCATATATATTTATATAAAAATAATAATGTTACCAATGTTATTAAAATGTTATTAAGATGTTACCAATGTTATTAAGATGTTATTAAATCTTAATAACATCTTAATTTAAGATTTTATTAAGATTTAATAACATCTTAATAACATTGGTAACATCTTAATAACATTTTAATAACATTGGTAACATTATTTTAATAACATTGGTAACATTTTAATAACATTGGTAACATCTTAATTTAAGGTGTTACTAATGTTATTAAAAAAATTTTCTCGCTTTACTAATCGCATTCGCTTTTAACTTTTTCGCTTTCCCGACCTTTCGCTTTCAAAATTTTCGCTCTTAAAAGTTTCGCTTTAAAGACACCGAACCTTTATTTTACTTACGCTATTTTCATTAAAAAAAAAAGACATAGGATTTTAAGGAGTCTGGAGTGAAATTTTTTAAAATTTAAACAAAATTAAAGCGTTTTTCGACGTCAACGATACCTGTACACCGCCCGTTTTTTTTAAGTTTGAACTCAAATATTTAAAACCGTAGTAATTAAGTTATAAAAATAGAATTGAAAATCATATATAGATTGTTTTTGTAGCATTAGTTATATGATAAATAAAGATTATTAGCATATATTTTTTTGGTTATGTTGATAAATATAATTTATTTTCAACGCTTTTACTTAATCGGCTTTCTGAAACATGCTTAAACTTTGTTTAAAGTGTTATTTTGAAACGTTTAAAAGTCCGTTTAAAGTGGACTTATTTACGTTTAAAACGTCACTTAAAATGGACTTACTTAAGCTGTTTAAAATGTTGCTTAAATTGAGCTTATTAAAAACATTTAAAACTGGATTTATTTACATTGAAACGCTTAAAACCTCGCTTGGAATGGACTTACTTAATTTGTTTGAAACAAATTAAAGTGAGCTTATTTAAAACATTTGAAACTTCGCTTAAAGTGGATTTATTTAAAATATGTTTGAAATTTCGCTTTAAATGGATTTATACAAAACATATTGAAAAGTTTGCTTTAAATGGACTTTAAATTAAGTGTAAAAATAATGTGTAAGGGTTGCTTTAAATTTAGTTTTACAAATTATTTTACTGCTTTCTTACAGATGAACAAATTTAACTTTACCTTGGTTAATAAATTCTTTTAATTTAACTTATAATAATTTTTATTTTTTTTGAACAAAATCTATGCGTTAGCGACCTCATTAATTGCATTTTTTATGTTATATCTGTAGTAAGAAAGATTTAACATTTCATTTAAGTTTGGTTAGTATAAGGTGTATGATGTCTTATAGAACTAAAAAACTCGATTAAATATTGTAAAGATTTATACACAAAACCTAGTCTCAAAATGTAGATCCACTTTAAGTGTTTTTTTGTACAGTGACGAAATATACATGGTCAAAATAACAAACACTTAAACTCAAAATTATGCTTTTAAAACAAAACTTCCTATCCGCAAACTTTATAGAAGCAATAGTCCGATTAGAAAAACTTGCTATTAACTTTTCAACAGCTATAACTTAGTCTAAAAAACTAATCAAAAACGTAAAGTGGGACTCAAAAAAGTCCACTTTAAGTAAAAGTCCACTTTAAGTTAAGTTTTTACCAATGAAAAGGCCACTTTAAGTCGATCTAACAAAATATATATATACACATATATATATATATATATATATATATATATATATATATATATACATATATATAATATATATATATATACATATATATATATATATATATATATATATATATATATATATATATATATATATATATATATATATATATATATATATATATACATACATATATATATATATATATATATATATATATATATATATATATATATATATATATATATATATATATATATATATATATATATATATATATATATATATACATATATATATATATATATATATATATATATATATATATATATATATATATATATATATATATATAAATATATATATACCATATATATATATATATATATATATATATATATATATATATATACATATATATATAAATATATATATATATATATATATATATATATATATATATATATATATATATATATATATATATATATATATGTATATATATATATATATATAAATATATATATACCATATATATATATATATATATATATATATATATACATATATATATAAATATATATATATATATATATATATATATATATATATATATATATATATATATATATATATATATATATATATATATATATATATATGTATATATATATATATATATATATATATGTATATATATATATATATATATTTATATATATATATATATATATATATATTTATATATATATATATATATATATATATATATATATATATATATATATATATATATATATATATACTATATATATATATATATATTATATATATATATATATATATATATATAAATATATATATATATATATATATAACTATATAGTTTTATCAATTTTATTAAAGCTGAATAATTATTTCAAAAATATTGATTAAAATCCAATTGCTTTTATTATTAACCTGATCTATACAAAAATTAATGAAATAAAACTAATAATTTAACGCCAAGTTAAGGTAAAATGTATTCCGGAAATTTTATAAAAGTAGTATAAATATGGATTGGATGTATGCTGAAAGAAATATGTTGATATACATTAGCTATAAAGTAAATCGATATATTCCTTTATTGTTTTTTTATAAACAAGCTTCTGCTGTATTAATAATAAAAAAAAGGTTGGTTTAGTAATAATCTTTATCATATAATAATATAGGATCCGTATGCAGGGCTAAGCTCTTTCTGGAATTGCGATATATTTTTCGACATTTATAGTTTTTCCGGATATCCAACTTCTATGCCTACAAGTTTGGGTGTAATGTTTTAGATGTTTTAAAAATATATTAAAAGTATATTAATAATATTTAAAAGTTTAGACGCGATAGTGACATATTTTCAAGCTCTTCAAAAGAAACGACTTAGCTTAAAGCAAAATTAAGAGTAAAATATATTCCCAATATTTACTTAAACAATTTTACGGAAATTGAAAATTTGACATCGATGTTCTGTGCATATAATTCAAGTCATTTTTAACTTCCACATGGTTGTGATTTGCGCATTCAATGCCTGAACATTGCAAAAGAAATGGTTAACTTTATCTTTAATGGAGCTAAGAGTTCTGTTAAACTAAGAAGCTAAGAATTTCTTATTCACTCGGCCTAATAAAGCTTATAGTTATGTTTAACTTAGAAGCCAAAAAAAATAAAAGCGAGCACAACTAAAAAAATGTATAATTAAATTTATATTTCATTAGAGAAAGTAAATAAAGATCAAATTGTTAGTAATGATTTATTTACTACTAACCCGTATTACGGATTGCTTACTGCTAGTTTTAAATATTGTCATTGCCTTCGAATCTTATCTAATGCTGTGGTATAGTGGTTAAAATTACACCAGCAGTAGTGTAATGGTTAAAGTTCTGTCTTCAGAAATGAAGGTTTGTTCTTTTGAAGAAGCACTGACCATATATGCAATATTGGTAAGAAAAGAGAAATAAACCTCCTTTACTACTATGATGCTTTGCGGTAAAACTTAAAAAAAGTAACTTAAATTAAAAATAAAAAGCTCAAAATATCTTTGCTCCATTTTATATAAAATAAAAAAACTTTAAAATAAAATTAAAAAATATTTTAATTATAAAAAAACATCACCCAAAAGACTACAAATTTTAAAATGACCGTTAAAATATAAATAAAATTCAATACAAGATACAAAATAAAAGCAACAAAACTTGGTAAGTTAAAAAATTATTCTTGGCTGTTCCAGCACAGCTTAATATGTAAGGCGATTTAAGCTCAAATACAGCATATTCGAACTCAACAGATTTGTTAAACGAAATAAGAGGAGGTGCATCACCTATTCCATAGTCAACAAGAATATCTATTTCAAAAAAAGAAAAGTAACACACACACATATATATACATATATATATATATATATATATATATACATATATATATATATATATATATATATATATATAATATATATATATATATATATATATATATATATATATATATATATATATATATATATATATATATTTATTTATTTATATATATATATATATATATATATATATATATATATATATATATATATATATATATATACATATATAAATATGTACAATATAAATACTAATTATTATATGCAAGTATATACATAAGCGTAACTACCGTGGAGCTGTTGGAGCTAATGTTCAAAGAGCGCAAGTTATGCGGGGCCAAACTTTTTTGTAAAAAAAAAGGTTTGGCCCCGCATAACTTGTGCTCCACGGTAGTTACGCTTATGTATATACTTGCATACTTGCACAAAGAAGCAACGTAGTGTTAAAAATTTTGTTCAAACGTTTTGTGGATTTACTTAGGTAGCTGATTAAACGTTACAAGGTTCAGGATCAGAAGTTTTAAAAGTTTTAAAAAGATTCGCCGATCTATCAAAATTATGTCGTCAAGGTTAAGATAGGGCTGCAGTGAATAGAAATTATTCAGGGTTACAAGCAAGAATAAGACAACAAAATCCCGAGGCCAGATTTGTGCACTGCTGTTCTTATAATATGAGTTTGGTGATCAATATTCGTGAAACCAATGTATAGTAAATCACGAAATTTTATAAGCAGTATTAAAGTATTTACCTTTTTTTTAGTTGTCTATGGTATTGCGCAATGCCAAAGCAACCGAGTCAAATAAACTCAGCAAAAATATTAAAAGGAGTTTCCGAAACTATCATACTTAGGCTCTTGATGTTTGACTACAAAACGATACTGCATTCTCAATATTTTAATCTAATTAAAATATTGAAAGATTTGTTTTTAAATGGAAAAAGTCATGATAAGTAACCTGAATCTGAAAATTTGAATACTTATTCTAAATAATTATATAAAACCAACAGTCATTCTAATAATAGTTTAACTTCAATTACTAAAACCCATATATACAGTCTCAAAAATAAATCAAGACACTCTTGAAGGTAAAGTGAAATATGTTGAAAAGCTTTCATCAGTCCTATCCCAATTTCAGAGTTTGAAGAATAATCAGAAGTTTGTTAAAAGCGATGTAATTGCTTTATAAGTTATGTGAATTATTCAATCATCTTTTTCCTTAAAAGGTTCCATCGTTCAAAAAAAAATTGTTGATGAAATCCAAGTTTATCTACTTAAAAAAAAAACAACGTTTCAAAGTTGAGGTGTAATATAGGATAATGGAGTTAATGAATAACAAATTAAACATTAGACTTGAATCCATTTGATAATTTTGTAGATTAGCGTTTAAAAGAAACCGGGCAAGCGCATATTTTGAAATAACTTTTATATATAAAAAGCAATTTTATTTTAAACTTTCACTAGAATGTCAAAACCTTGATCCAAAACCAAAACAATTCTAAAAAGAAATGAGTTTTTACTAAATCTAAGCAACCTAAACTTAAAAGTTCATGTTATTGAATTATACGCGTGCAAAAATACGGGCATTACAACAAATAATAAAACTCCTTTTGTAAGTTTTTATTTAATATTAAAAAACGGTAAGTGAAACATAAAGTGATTCTTGTTAACAAGACAATTGTCTTGAGTTAATTTTCAAAATGGCAAAGCAAAAATATACGTTTATAGGTATATTTTTGCTTTATACGTATATTTAATATATATATATATATATATATATATATAATATATATATATATATATATATATATATATATATATATATATATATATATATATATATATATATATATATATATGTATATATATATATATATATATATATATATATATATATATATATATATATATATATATATATATATATATATATATATATATATGTATATATATATATATATATATATATATATATATATATATATATATATATATATATATATATATATATATTATATATATATAGATATATATATATATATATATATATACATATATATATAAAGTTATATTATTTAATTATTATTTCGTATTTATATTATTGATATTATACTGATTAACTTTGATTATAGCTTTAAAATGAAATACTACTACCGAAAGTTTTTTCTTTGGTTAATGCTTTGGTCTCAAATCAATCTTAAATTCCAAATGTACCTACATTTGGATTTTCCAGTGCAATGCTGGACAATTAGATTGATGTTTTTAAAATTCCCTAGAAAAGCTACCAGCTGAAGTTATGGATTTACTCCACAAAATTGACAAAACATAAAAGTGTTTTGGCAATAGAAGACAATAATCAGGGTCATTTGTAATGATATACTTTCATACTTGTTTTTAAAAAATTCTACAAAAATCCATAGCTTTTTCATATTAACTGCAATGTGTTTTCTAACTTTATCTACTTTTATCCTGATTATCTGCAATTGTACGCTCTACATACATGTTTTATATATTTTCAACATTACTTTTTTTTTTCTCACTGTAAATAATGATTTATTAAACCTGATCTAATTATTATGTAGATATATTGCAAAAATGAATCCTGAAAAAGGATACTGAATTGAGAAAAACCGTCAAACCTCAGCCAAAAGTATATAATAACTATAATAAACTACAATTTGTCTTAATAAAATATTAATTGTTACATATAATATATAACATATATAGTAACTACTAAAGTATAATAATTTTTTTTATATTTATTATAACTATTATTACCATAATAAATATTTCATCAACATATGAGGAGTTCATCTGAAAAATTTGTACAATAAAAATAAAATATGGAAACCGTGAATTTTACGGAGAAAGTTCTGTATCTTTTTAACGAACTTTTTCTGTTTATTATTGCGGAATATAGAAACTACGGAAACCGTAACTTTTTACGGAAAAAAAGCTGTCACTTTGCTCCTGAACATTCTCTGCTAAATCTACAGCGAAGTTTTTAACATTGGACCATTATTTAAAACTTTACTAAAAATATAAAATTTTGAAACATTCAAAACAAATTTCTGACAAATTTATATTAAACATCGTGTTTAAGTGGGTTAGCAGCTTTCAACAGAACTTAGCCCAATTGCTAACTTAACCATTACTTCATTTGCTTTCTGGATTATTAGCATCAGGAATACCAACTCACCGCTTTGCGAACTTTATATTATACATTAGATAGACATGAAGCTTTTCTATTCCATATTGTACACTGTTAAAAATCTCCTTACGTGTACCGAATCATTTTCAGTTGTTTGTTCGAAAAGTACACATTTAGCAAAATTGAACAGAAATTTTCCTTCTTTTAAAATACATTTTAAAACATGGAAATTTTCGTTGCAAAAAGATTTTACCATGGAATCGTATAAAAATTTAGCAAACAAACTTGTCATATTAAAAAAGTAGTTTTAGATTTTTTAGCTAGCGTGTTTTTTAAATAAAACCAATTCTAGCGTATATCTATCTATCTATCTATCTATCTATCTATCTCTCTCTCTCTCTCTCTCTCTCTCTCTCTCTCTCTCTATATATATATATATATATATATATATATATATATATATATATATATATATATATATATATATATATATATATATATATATATATATATATATTAATTTTTTAATAGATGGCGAAAATGTACTAAGGAGTTTTCATTGATTTTACGGACCAATATTTTTGATTTTATGGAAGTGTTTTTTAATAATACGTTTTTAGTGGTTAGAAAGATAGGAAAAAAACGGAACAAAATTATTTTGCAAGATGGTGTCATAAAGCATTTAGCATCGTTTTTTGATGCATAATTTAAAATGTTTATGTTAAAATCTCCAACTCAGTATACATGTTTGCGTTTTTTACTGGTTTAGGTTAGAAAATTTTTAATGTGAGCTTTAAAATTTTTTAATTTTCCAGCTGGTTGTCTATAAATAGAGTTAACGAAAAAGTTTTTATTCATTTTATTTATTATTTCAGTGCATAACGACTCACAATCTGTTTCATTCACGCAATGATCATTACGCTAAATAAAATTTAATGAGTTGTGAATAAAAATACTCATTCCACCACCAGCATGTTTATGACGCAATTGAAGAACTGATGCGTAATTGGCTAATTCAAAACGTGCGCTTTTTTCAGCCACGTTTCTATAAGGCAGATAATTTGAAAATCGTGTTTGAGGTTATGAAGTAAAATTTTAGAGTTTTTAAAGTTTTTACTCATACTCCGAATGTTCAGAGTTAAATTTAAGAAAGCATTATTGTTCTGAGAAAGAAAATAAGTAGATTCAGAAATTAAAAAATACTCAGTTTCAAAGCTAAAATAAAGAAAGAACAAGGTAATATATATACATGAATAAAAAAGAGTTAAAATATAACGAACCTAATTCTTTTTTCGATTAGAGGCCCAATCACGTATGATCAATCTGTTGTACGATATGACAGCGTATTTCCCAGATGATTGTTCTACTTTCATCTTTTCTTTTAAAGTTCTTCTTATTTGTGTTGTATCCAGACAAAAGTCTTCGTTGATGAATTTTTTTTTTCCTTCTAGATAAAAACGTTTTTTAGGAATTTCTGTTTTATCTTTGAAATCTAAGAGTTTTAACATTTTTCATGTTTTGAAGATTCATTATGAGACTCGACACCTCAACTTCAGACTGTGGCTCAAAGAAAAAAATAGCTTTTAATAGGATTGTTTGAAAAGTCTCTAAAATCATAAGTAGGTATTGTATTTTTTTTGTTTGAATCTCCTGGATTGTGGCATAGTATTTGTTAAAAATATTAGCAATTGTGGTTGTATTACCAATGATAACTTCTTTAATTCTCTTGACACTGTTTAGATTTTTGTTGAAAAAAAAGATATAGTACTTTTTTTGTAATTGTTCAAGTAAGTTGCTTTTTATTACTAATTAAGTTAAATTTGTTAAAAAGTAAACTTCTTG